TTATTTTTTTTTTTATGAAGGGTAAAAAGAGAAAAAAAACTTTGAGAGGAAGCGAAGTCAGAGCCCCTAATGAGGATATCTCTGTGGTCAAGGTAATATCACAACTAGTCACATTTAGTGTTTTTATAATCACAAATTGCATAGTCACATCTACATTTTTGTTTGTTTTCTGTGAAGGGGAAGAAGAGGAAAACACCTGAATGAGAAAGTCAAGTAAATGCCCCTGATGAAGATTTTGCTGTGAGTGAAGTACCTGTCCCTAATGAAGATTTTGTTGTGAGTGAAGTATCTGTACCTAATGAACAGATTGTTGTGGCAAAGGTAATGTTTTTTGTTTTGTTTTTTAGTTAGGTATATATATGTTGACTGGTAGTAAAATAAAGGTTGGGTATTGTTTATGAAGGGAAAGAAGATGAAAGCACCTGCACCTGTGAAGGAAACTGAAGTTCTTCATACACAAGAATCAGTGGCAACAATAACTTCAAGGGTCACAAGAAGCCAAAGCCAGCCTGCATCTACAAGCCTCACAAGAATTCAAGCACAGCCTGTATCTTCACCAAGAAGGCAAAGTCAGCCTACAACTTCACCAAGAAAGCAAAGCCATTCTGCATTTTCAACAAGAAGCCAAAGCCAACCCCCATCTACAAGACTTACCAGAAGCCAAGCGCATTCTGTATCTTCACCTACAATCAGTACAAAGAGTGAGTCTGCAGGGCCGAGTTCAGTTGCAACTTCACCTAAAATGAGAAAACAGAGTCAGACTGCAGGGCGTTCAGTTGTAACTTCACCTATAAGAGTGACAAGAAGCCAAATTCAATCTGCAGCTACACCTACAAGGTTAACAAGAAGCAACTCCAAAGGTCTAACACCCACAAAGGAATCGGGGCAAAAAAGGAGTCCAAACAATGAAACCAAAAGCAAGACGTTGGATTCAGTTGTAACTTCACCTACAAGAGTGACAAGAAGCCAAATTCAATCTACAGCTACACCTACATGGTTAACAAGAAGCAACTCCAAAGGTCTAACACCTACAAAGGAATTGGGGCAAAAAAGGAGTCCAAACAATAAAACCAAAAGCAATACATTGGATTTGAGAAGAAAACTTGAGGTAATATCTTTTTTTATTGTGTGTTTTTTTCACTGTGTATTTCAATATATTGTAATAATCTTACTATCCATTTAATAGGTGACCAAGAAAAAAAATCCATTGACTGAAGGTGCTAGATTTACAACAACTAAGGGACCAATGGTGAAGAAGCATGTGGTGCAATCTCAGCCTGAGCCAGAGGTATTGGGAACATATTGGGTTAGCAGTAGTGGGGCCATAGTGGATAAGTAGGGGTTGATGTGTTGGATGTTTCTGATATTGGAAAACTGAAAACATTTTGGTGTTGGATGTTTTGTTAGAATGGATGTGGTTGATGTGTTTCTTGAACTCAGATATAATGGTTATGACTTTTGTGGATATTATGGTTTGTTCTGGATATTAGGGTTGGTTTGTTTTGGATATTATAGTTGATATTTTGAATGGTTTGTTTTGGATAATATAGTTTTGCATGGTTTTTTTTTAAATGTGTCTATGGATACAAGTTTTTTTGAATACCTCTGATGTATTCAATGCAATTTAGTAACCGAGTGTATGACACTTATATGGCAGATGGCATTAGCTCTTCTTCTTCTGTGCAATTTAAGTTTACAACATAGTCATAAGTTAAGTTTACAATAGATATAGTCATAAGTTTTCCTTCAAAGAAAGAAGACAATCCACATAGGCTTACAATATATGTCATATGTCATTGAACACACATTGTTTGCACTAACAACAGTCTTCAGAACAAACATTATCACCAAATGAATGAACCACATTCTTGAACAACAAAACTATCAACCAAAAGAGGACTAAAAACACATTCTTGAACAACAAAACTATCAACCAAAAGAAGACTAAAAGAGTTTGAACAACACAAAGCTAAAAGCTGAAAAATCTACAACATGTAATACATGATAAACCAAGAGATCATAATTACAATCCACATCCAACGCTCCCG